TTTTTAAAAATAAGAAGGGTTTGATAGAGGGGAGTGTTGAGGAATGACAGATGAAGGAAAACACAATTGGTGTTGGCAGGGTTGTGGCAACGAAAATCTTACTGCTCTGCAGCGGAGTGTGGATTCAATGGAGGACAAGGGTATGTCGGAAGACCCTCGCTATTCACAGATGATGATGCGTGTACGTCCCCCTATGCAGGTCCGTATTATTAAGTCCTTGCGGTAGAGATGTTTTGTGGTCCTAATGGTAGTTTTCTCAGTCACTGCGATGCCATTTCCTTAGTGTTTTGCTGTGTCATCCCATGTCTGCGATGATGATTTTGCATGCTGGTGTATTTAATACTGTGTAAAAGTCATTGCATCCTCTAGCTTTTCCATTTTGTGGACTATACTGTAGGTGACCAGTATATCCCTGATATTTTTTGTTGTTGAAATAGTGAGTTTTAATGCTTGCTACCTATTGCATGATAAACCTGACTTGTCGTAATACTGTCATCTCATGGAAAGTTTATTTGCAGTTAATATAGTAAATGAAATTGTAATCAGTTGTTTCATATAAAAGAGAGATTCTAATTACAAATGAGAGTATGTATGTAATTGGTCTCCCAAATGTTGATATAAATAATTACATGCTATCCTAGTAAACTTAATTTTGTGTTATTTCCCCGTATGTAGACATGTTTTTAATACTTCAGAAAAGTTTGGTTTGTGGAAAAGTATTGCTTGCCATTCTGAGGAAGTATCCTCCAGAATTTTAATTATTTTTCCTTTTATTTATTTTCCAGGGCTTTGGTGCCCAACAAGGAGAGATGCCTCAAAAGTACCAACTATCGGCAGCCCAGCTCAATATGCTGCGCTTCCAAATCATGACATACCGGAATGTGGTGAGAAGTCTCCAGATACTTCCACATCCTCGATTGGCAGCTGCTGGCAAACCTATGGAAGGAGCACCTCCTTCAACACAGAGCCCAACACCTCCGAGCTTCCAGCAGCCTGTGGGTCCACCAAGTGGACCCGGTGCTTCTCCTGGACCAGGATCAGGCTCTGGTCCTGGCTCGTCATCTGGACAAACACCCTCGTCCCAACAAGGACCACCTCAGTCTGGACCTTCGCCGCACCAAGGACCACCTACTCCAGGTCCTCAGCAGCCTCCCACAGGTCCAAGTGGTTAGTGTCTGTTAAACAAAAAAAAACAATGTAACAAAATTAGATATGTTTAAAGATATTTGTTTGATGATGATCTTTATCATCGACTTGCTTTACACCATTCATTTGTGAATGTTGTATATATTTTTATTGTTTGTGTTTTTCCAACAGGCCCTGGACCCCTTACTCCTGCAACGAGCCAGCCCCCCTCCACTCCAAGTACTCCAGGTGCACCAGGTATGACCGGAGGGTCTTCCCAAAGCTTCAGTCACATGTCGTCTCAGGGCCACATGCAAAATATGGGTCATGGTCCATCTCACAGCCACTCTCATGGTTTACCTCACAGCCACTCGCATGGTCTGTCTCATGGCCCATCCCACGGTCTATCTCACAATATGTCTCACGGTCCATCCCATAGCCTGCCTCATGGTGTTGCGCATGGCTTGTCTCACGGATATTCTCACAGCCTGTCTCATGGACCACACCAAGGGCCATCACCTCAGGGCCACTCCCAATTGCATTCTCAAAGCCAAGGTGGCCCATCTGGACCACAGGGACCCCCTCCACATCCTCAGGGGCCTTCTCCGCATCCCCAAGGTCCATCTCCACATCCTCAGGGACCTTCTCCAGGACCATCTCAAGGACCTTCTCCAGGTCCGTCGCAGGGACCTTCTCCAGGTCCAGGATCGACCCAGGGACCTCCACCTACTCCACCTCAGACCCCCCATACGGCTCACGGCCCACACCAGGGCTCTTCACAGGTGTCGCCGCAAGCAAATCAAGCTCAACCAGTGTGTCAAATGTCTCCTCAAGGAACGACGGCTCCCCCCGGTCCCTCACCTGGACCTTCACCTGGGCCGTCACCGGGACCTCCCAGTGGACCTTCGCCAAGCCCTGGACCAGGTCCGCAGGGAGGGCCGACGCAACACAGCGGCCCTCACGGACATGGCCCTCACCTTGGTCCCAGTGGTGCTCATGGTGGTCCTCATGGAGGACCTCACGGCGGACCCCACGGCGGACCCCACGGCGGACCCCATGTTGGTCCTCACGGCGGACCCCACGGAGGACCGCACGGTGGGCCCCTTAGCGGTCCTCACAGCGGGCCGCATGGGGGCCCTCATGGCCTTCCCCATGGTGGCCCTCACGGTGGACCTCACGGTGGACCTCACGGTGGTCCTCACGGTGGTCCTCACGGCGGACCCCACGGCGGACCCCACGGCGGACCCCACGGCGGTCCTCACGGGGGTCCTCACGGCGGGCCCCATGGCTTCTACGGGCCGCTTCACCACGGTCCTCTGCACCACGGCCCCCCGCACCACGGTGGCCCGAGCCCTCACCACTCGCCGCTGCACGGGCCCCCGCACGGGCACGCCGGCATGCACGGCCCCGGGCACGGGCACGGGCCGCTGCACGGACCTCACATGGGACCGCACGGCGCGCTGCACGGCCTCCACGGGCCAGGCCCAATGCACGGACCTGGCCTGCACGGCCTGCACGGCCCTGGCCCCATGCACGGCCCGCACCACCAGGGTGGGCCCGGTGGCCTTAGCGCCTTCGACGTGCCCCTCGGCCACCCCTGTGCCCCGCTCCAGCAGCCCCCACAGCCCCCGCCAGCCGCGAGGCAGACATCGCCACAGAGCTCTCGACAAACATCGCCCCAAGCGGCCCGTCAGCCGTCGCCTCAAGCCTCTTCGCAGTCCTCGCCGACGCAACCCTCTCCTCCGTCGGCCAGCGGCCACCTCCAGCCTTCTCCGCAAGCGGTGGAGGGCCCCTCCCCGTCCCCATCCCCGTCGCCCCGCGCGGCGTCGGCGGTGTCGCCCCCAGCAGCGCCCTCATCCCCCTCCACACACCCGCACGCACCCCCCGACGCACCCTCGACGTCCCCTGAGGCGGACGCCCCGGCCCCGGGCTCGCCCGCCCCGCCCCGGAGCCCCTCCGAGAGTGCGGGTCCGACTGGAGCTCCATCCCCAGTGGGACCCTCACTGGAGGGAGGTAGTGTGCCGGAAGCACATATTGGTATGTCATGTTTTAGACTTTTCCCACTTTATTTTATTATCATTTTGATGACATGGGCTGCTCTTTATGTTTCAATTATTTTTTTAGAGTTCTTTTTCTTTTTTCTCTTGAGCTCTAGGTCATTTTTAATGTTTTTGCTTTTAATTATTTACTGTGCCGGTATGTTTATCTCAATTTTTTTGTATTTTGAAAATGAATGTCAGGACATAAACACAAAATCCACTAAAGGTCTCTCACACATTCCCTTTGGTAAAACACCTTTCCCCTCTAAATATCTAGGCTGTGAGTTGGGACTAAGTGATCTTAATTTATCTTGTACAAGTGCGGTGCTGGTTGTTATTTTGTCTGTCTCATGATGAATCTTTTTTCATCCCCACAGGGTTGACATTCAAATTACAGGAAACCTTTCACTTTATTAATTCCCCTACCAAATCAGTTTTCATCTTAAATCCTTAGCATGTATAGGACTACCAGTACAAGGCTACAGAGTTACTAAAATCCTTTTCCTATTATTGTGTGTTATTTGTAGTCCATTGATTGAAGTTCTTCTAAAAAATTTGTCATTTGATTTTTAAAATCTCCCTACCAACCAAATCTTAACAAATCCCTCAAGAACTATATACTTATTCTAGCTTCTTATACTAAAGTAAAGTGCATGTTTCTTTTACTTTACATGCTTATTTTCTGCAAATATGATAATACATCTTTTTTGCATGAAATTGAAGTAGTAGCATCTTCCATTCAGAGTCTGCATTTCATTCGAATTCCCTCTCAAACTAACCAAATCTGCCTTCATCTGAAAGTTGGCATTGTTGTTGTCTGTTAAAACAGGCCACTTAGAACTTGAAATGCAAACTAAGTAATCTTAGCTTCCCATTTGTTTTGCATATGTGTAGAAGAGTATTATGTTGCTTTCTCTTGAATATTCCTGTTTGTAGCCTAATGAGAATGGTACCCTATTTCATTGATGTTGATTTTTGTTTTTACTGTATCAGCCTTCCTTTCAGTGTTTTTTTATTTTGTGCAGTTTTGTTTCCCATGCCAACATCTTAGGTGTTCCTTAAATATTTAATCTCTGTCATGTGTATTTTAGACTTGCATTGAAGTTAACTTTGTTGCTGTGCACAGCCAGTGTTCTAACCCTTTCTCCATGTCTGCAGGCTCGCCCGGCCCAGCTCATCCCCCTGCTCCGAGTACGCCCGGCGCCCCTCCCTCCGGCCCGCCCACGCCCGGGCCCATGCCGCCTCACGGAGCACCCTCACCGCGCCCTCCACACGGGCCGCCGACTCCCGGGCCGGCAAGGACACCGCCGCCAGGGCCTCCTGGACCTTCTCCAGGTCCATCAGGACCTCCCCGACCTCCATCCGGTCCACCGCCTTCGGGCTCGCCAGCCCCGCCAGCGGGTCCTCCACAAGGACCCCCACCAGGTCCACTGACTGGTCCGCCTACCGGACCTCCAACTGGTCCACTCTCCATGATGCCCGGAGGCCCCCACGGCCCCCACGGCCCGCACGGACCACACGGACTCCACGCTCCCCACGGACAACACGGCCCCCACGGACCACATGGACCCCACGGGCCACATGGACCCCACGGCCCGCACGCTCCGCATGGGCCACATGGACCACATGGACTACACGGCCCACACGGCCCGCCTGGCGGTCCACCTCAGGGTCCTCCACAAGGACCTCCGACTCCAGGTCCCTCGCAGCCCGGTCCAGCACCAACGCCTCCTCTCTCTGGCCCCCCTCAAGGCCCTGCTCAGGGTCCTCCGCAAGGACCACCACAGGGTCCGCCCCAGGGTCCGCCCCAAGGACCACCACAGGGACCGCCCCAGGGCCCACCTCAAGGACCACCGCAAGGACCACCGCAAGGACCACCGCAAGGACCACCTCAGGGCCCACCCCAGGGCCCACCTCAAGGACCGCCCCAGGGTCCTCCTCAAGGGCCTCAAGGACCTCCAAATCTTGGTGGCCCGCAGGGCCCACCAGGACCCCCCACAGGACCTGGGCCTCACGGAATGCCTCCTACGGGACCAAATCAAGGACCTCCTGGACCTGGTGGTATGCCTCCTGGGCCTGGTGGGATGCCTCCGGGACCTCAGCGCCCTGGACCCACCCCTCCGCCCGGGGGACCTCCTCACCAGGTGAGGTCGTACACCAATGTGAGTACTCGCTTCCTTGCTTCTGTTTCATCTTTTGACAAGTATAAACTATAAACGCCTTTTGCCGCCGGTTCGTGACTGTACCTCTGATCTTACCATGTTGTTGTGCCCGTTGCAGGGCGCCATGATTCCGCCTCAGGGTCAGCCTGGAGGACCAGGTGGACCTCCATCTCAAGGCCCGCACGGTCCCATGCACCCTGGCGGACCCATGCACCCCTCCGGCTACCCTCCACACCCCTCGATGAGCATGGGCCAGATGGGCCCCCATCCTGGACAGCACGGCGGACCAATGGGACCCCATCCAGGTGCGCCCCATTCCTGCTACCCAATTCACCAGTCACCTGTCGTCGCATGTTTCACTAACTTAACCGTTTCCCCATTTATAGGTGGTCCTATGGGACAACATCCGGGGCATCCCGGTCACCCAGGTGGCATGGTTCCAATGGGTCAGCATGGTGGACCGATGCACCCCGGCAGTCACCCCGGCGGTCATCCCGGAGGTCATCCTGGTGGTCACCCGGGCGGTCCGATGCACCCGGGCATGGGACAAATGGGTCCAATGGGACAAATGGGACCCATGGGGCCCATGATGAGCATGCAGAGAGGCGCCATGGGGCCTCACCAGGGCCCTATCGGACCGGGCATGCCTGTACATCCCCAGATGCAGCAGGCTGGCCTGCCTCCGGGAGCTCACCAAATCCAACAACAAGTTCTGAGCAACACGGGGAGCATCATGGGCAAGAATGCCCGGACCACATCTATGCCGAAACCATGCGGAATCGACCCTGTCGTCACGCTGGACGATCGTGAGAGGAGAGTTGCTGAGCGTATTCAGATGAGAATTGAAGTACTGAGCAATCTGCCTCCCACTCTCTCAGAAGAAGATAAAATGCAGGCACAGATTGAACTGAGAGCACTAAAGGTTCTCAATCTGCAACGCCAGTTACGAAGTGAAATAGCTGCATCCACCCGTCAAATGACTACTCTTGAGACGGCTCATAACATAAAATTGTACAAAAGAACCAAGCGTCAAGGACTGCGTGAGGCACGTGCCACTGAGAAGTTAGAGAAGCAGCTCAAGATAGAAGCAGAAAGGAAACGTCGGCAGAGACATAAGGAATACCTTGACACAATTCTACAGCATGGCAAAGACTTTAAAGAATTCCACCGTAATAACCTGGCCAAAGCTGGCCGTCTGAATAAGGCACTTATGAATTATCATGCCAATGCTGAACGTGAACAAAAGAAGGAACAAGAGAGAATTGAGAAGGAACGTATGCGACGTCTAATGGCTGAGGATGAAGAAGGTTACAGAAAACTCATTGATCAAAAGAAAGACAAGCGTTTGGCATTCTTGCTCTCTCAGACTGATGAGTACATTGGAAATCTCACTGAGATGGTAAAACAACACAAGTTAGACCAGAAACGCAAGCAACAGACCAATGTGAAGAGGAGGAGAAGGAGGAGGAGGAAACCTGAGGGTGAAGAGGGTGCTGAAGATTGCAAAGATTCTCATGGGGGTGAAGATGGAGATGAGGAAGAGGAGGACTTCAGGACAACTGTTCGAGAAATTGCTTCTGGTAAGGAATTGTCTGGTGAGGATGCACCATTGGCAAGTGAGGTGGATGAGTGGCTTGAGGCCAACCCTGGATGGGAATGCCTTGATGAACTTATTGAAGATGAAGAAGATGGTGAAGAATCTTCTGAAAAGAAAGCCAAAGATGGTGAAGCATCCAAAGAGGGTGGTAAGGAGGAGAAAGGCATTATCTCCAAACCAAAGGTGGAAGATGATGAATATGGAAAGAAAGGAGAAGAACACACATACTATAGTATTGCTCATACTATTCATGAACAAATTACTGAACAAGCTGATATACTCATCAATGGAAAACTTAAAGAGTATCAAATTAAAGGTTTGGAGTGGCTTGTTTCTTTATTCAATAATAATTTGAATGGAATCTTGGCCGATGAGATGGGTTTGGGTAAAACGATCCAGACAATTGCTCTCATCACCTACTTAATGGAACGAAAGAAAGTAAATGGACCTTTCCTCATCATTGTTCCACTGTCCACATTGTCTAATTGGGTTCTTGAATTTGAGAAGTGGGCTCCCTCTGTGATCTGCCTAGCCTACAAAGGGTCTCCTCAAGTACGACGATCTCTTCAGGCTCAAATGCGAAACACAAAGTTCAACACTCTTCTCACAACTTACGAATATGTCATCAAAGATAAAGCAATCCTAGCTAAAATTCATTGGAAGTACATGATTATTGACGAAGGTCATCGCATGAAGAATCATCACTGCAAGCTTACCCAGGTTCTGAACACCCATTATATTGCTCCCCATCGTCTGCTCCTTACAGGAACACCCCTCCAAAACAAATTACCTGAATTGTGGGCATTATTAAATTTCCTGCTTCCCTCAATTTTCAAATCTGTGAGTACTTTTGAACAGTGGTTCAATGCACCTTTTGCCACAACTGGTGAGAAGGTAGAGTTAAACGAAGAAGAAACTATTTTGATTATTCGGCGTTTGCACAAAGTTTTGAGACCTTTCCTTCTGCGACGACTAAAGAAGGAAGTAGAATCACAGCTACCAGATAAGGTAGAATACATTGTGAAATGCGATATGTCTGGTCTTCAAAGAGTTCTTTATCGTCACATGCAGAGCAAGGGAGTTCTTCTTACTGATGGTACTGAGCGAGGGAAGCAAGGAAAGGGTGGTACCAAGGCCCTGATGAACACAATTGTGCAGTTACGTAAATTGTGCAACCATCCATTCATGTTCCAACAAATTGAAGAGAAGTACAGTGAACATTTGGATATGAATGGGGGTGTTGTTCAAGGACCAGAACTATTTAGAACATCAGGCAAATTTGAGCTTCTTGACCGCATTCTTCCCAAGCTGAAGGCCACTAATCACAGAGTTCTTCTCTTCTGTCAAATGACTCAACTGATGACAATTATGGAAGATTATTTGAACTGGCGTAATTTCAATTACCTGCGTCTGGATGGTACAACTAAAGCTGAAGATCGAGGAGATCTGCTCAAGAAATTCAACAATCCCAACTCTGATTACTTCTTGTTCCTTTTGAGTACTCGTGCTGGTGGTTTAGGTCTCAACTTGCAAGCTGCAGATACTGTTGTCATCTTTGACTCGGATTGGAATCCACATCAGGATTTACAGGCTCAAGATCGAGCTCATCGTATTGGTCAACAAAATGAAGTCCGAGTGCTGCGTCTTATGACAGTAAATTCAGTAGAGGAGAGAATTCTCGCTGCTGCTAGATACAAGCTTAATATGGATGAGAAAGTTATTCAAGCTGGTATGTTTGATCAGAAATCTACAGGATCTGAAAGACAGCAATTCTTGCAAACTATTTTGCATCAAGATGATGATCAAGATGAGGTAAATCTTTTTCCTATGATGAAACTGATATGATTCATTGTAGTTATTTTAGAATAATGTTTAATATTGTAAATTATTTATGTTACAGGAGGAAAATGAGGTTCCTGATGATGAGGTGGTCAATCAGATGTTGGCTCGCTCAGAGAACGAGTTTGAACTTTTCCAAAAGATGGACCTAGAAAGGCGGCGTGAAGAAGCAAGTCGCGGAAGTGGTCGTCAGTCTCGTCTTGTTGATGAAAGTGAATTGCCTGAATGGCTCCTGAAGGGAGATGAAGAATTAGAACGCTTGGCTTATGAAGATGAGGAGTCACCTGAGGTGCTCGGCCGGGGTTCTCGCCAGAGGAAGGAGGTGGATTACACAGATAGCCTGACTGAGAGGGAATGGCTTAAGGTAAAATTTTCCACAAGCGCTGAGGTTGAAGCTAATTTATTCTGTAGGCATGTAAAAAAGAAAATCGATCTAATTTTTCTTATTTATTATAGGCCATTGATGATCTTGGAGACTTTGAGGATGAAGAAACAGAAGAGGAAGAGAGGCGTCCGCCTGCAAAGAAGGGTCGCAAGAGACGAAAGAAGGAGGGAGAAGAAGATGATGAAGATGAGCCTCTCTCAACTAAGAAGAAACGGGGTAATGTGGCTAAGAACACAACTCTTGACTCCAAAACCAAAAGGCAAATGAGAAAAATAATGGATGTGGTCATCAAACATTCTGACAGGTATTGCATAATGTCAATTTCTTTTCCCTTTAACTACCATTCTAGTATTGTCTAAAACAATATCATGACTAATGATTATCCCCATTTTCAGTGAGGATGGTAGAGTTCTCAGTGAACCTTTTATGAAGCTTCCATCTAGGAAGGCGCTTCCAGATTACTATGAAGTAATTAAGAAGCCTGTTGATATCAAGAAAATTGTAGCCCGCATTGATGACGCTAAAGTAAGTGTATAGTAATGTTTTGAATCTAATCTAATCTGGTTTTATGCATTCTCATCTAATCTAATCTATTTAATTATTCAGTACTGTGACATGGAAGACCTAGAAAAGGACTTTATGCAGTTGTGCAAAAATGCGCAGTTATATAATAAGGAACAATCTTTAATTCACGAAGACTCCATTGTCCTTCAATCTGTTTTCACTAATGCTCGTCAACAAGTGGAACAAGCAGTAGAGTCTGATAATGGTTTGTATTATTTCAAACAAACATGTCCAAAAGGTACTCTATTTTCGTAATCTTTTTTTTTTCTCTTATGCTTAATTTCTATTTTTGGGGATTTTCAGAAGATGAAGAATCTGAACAGGAATCACGGCCAAGGGGGAAGAGGGGAGGTCGTCCCTCGAATGCATCAAAAGGAAGAAAAGGGAAACGATCTCGCAAATATGTAACCAGTGATGAAGAAGATGAGGATGACTGAGGTTAGTGAACAGTAATTATACTACCTTTGGCCGGCCACTCCCCATTGCCAAGTAAAACTAATTTATTTTTGTGTTTTTTAAAATTTTTCTACTACAGGAAGAACTCATTTTGAAAAAATGCGGCTTATCATAGTTGGCAGCAGACTGACACGAAAGTGCTTGTGAATGAACTTTGTATATGGTATGGTCTTTATGTATGTGAGGGTGAATGTAAGTGTGCATGGTTAATGGGGAATGTCATTTCTCCAATCATCATTACATTAATGTAAGTAGCTTCCTTTCCTGTACATACGTGATGTCTTTTATTGTGTATGATAATTCATCAGTATTTTATTGTATAAAATAATTTTCTTTATGGTAGTGTTTGGTGGTGGATTAGGTGAAGATATGTCTGGTCTTCAAAGAGTTCTTTATCGTCA